CCCCCCCCCCCCACTTACCATCCCGGTGGTGGGGCCTGGCTGTCTTCCCTGCACTCCCATCGCTCGGGGTCAGGGGCCCGTGGGGAGGTGGATGCCGGGCTCCTAGGGTGAAGGTCGGGGTCCGCGGCTGGGACACGGGTGGGACAAGCAATCCATCTGGGAGCGTAAATGATCTTATTTTTTTTTTTAAAGCCGAAACTGGAAGAAAACTTTATATCACTTTTAAGCGGATACATTGTATCAAGTGCCTTCATGTTATTTCATCCCCGGTAAAACAAATACAGAGGTAAACAGGGGAATTTTCCCTGCCCCGGGCTGTGCCCCCCGGAGGGGCACCGGGGAGCCTCTTCCCCGCGGGGCGCCTCGGGCCTCCTGGGGGACAGGACCTCGGCAGAGCTGTGGCCCTGGGCTATGCACCCCCCACTCACCCCCTCTTTTTCCCCCCGCAGATGTTCCCCCTGCCGGTGGCCAATGGGAAGAGCCGGCCCACCTCCCTGTCCGGGGCCCAGTTCGGAAGCTCAGGTAGGACCCCGCTGGCTGCCTGGGGGCTTCTTGTTTGCTTGAGGAGATCACTGCGTGTGAAGGGTGGGCCCATGGAGGGTGAGGGGGGGCCACCGCGGGGTGGGGCTGGCTGCCGGGCGCAGCCTTGTGGACTAGGCACTAAGGGGAGAGGTGTTTGGGGGCAGCGCTCAGGCCCGCCAGGTGGAGTGGGGGTGAGGGGCCCGGGGCGGAGGTCCAGGCGCCCATGTGGGCCTGCGGTGGTGGGGATGGTGAGCCTAAGGGAACCCCAGGAAGCGGCTGCCGCTGTGGTTGTGTGACTTGCCTTGGGGCTAAGGGAGGGAGCCCCGTGGTCAGCATGGTGTCACCGTCCACCCTGTCCCGAGAGCCTGGCCCCTGGTCCGGGTATGGGGGACTCTGTGTGACTCACGAGGGCTTGGGTGAGCTGGGCACTTCAGCCTCCAGGGTCTCCTTGGCCCCAGTGGGGTTCTGGGTGTCCAGTCCATGCCCAGGGAGGGAACCTGAGGCCCAGAAGGGGTGTGATATGGAACCCCAGCTTTCTCCAAATCCTGCTCTGCCCCTGGCTGTTTTTTTTTTTAATTTTTTAATTTATTTGGTTGCGTTGGATCTTCGTTGCTGCACGCAGGCTTTCTCTAGTTGTGGTGAGCAGGGGCTACTCTTTGTTGTGGTGGCTTCTCTTGTTGCAGAGCACCGGCTCTAGGTGCGCGGCTTCAGTAGTTGTGGCTTGCAGGCTCCGTAGTTGTGGTGCACGGGCTTAGTTGCTCCGCGGCATGTGGGATCCTCCCAGACCAGGGCTCGAACCGTGTCCGCTGCATTGGCAGGCGGACTCCTAACCACTGCGCCACCAGGGAAGTCCCACCCCCTGGCTGTTTTCATTCAAGTATGTATTAGGTGCTGATCGTTGACAAGACCGGGCACTAGCGTGATAACCTGGCCTGGTTTGTTCGAGGTCTGGGGTGGGTGTTCCTGGGATCTGGGACTTTGAACGTTCCAACTGGGGTCATCCGAGGCACACCTGAATGAGCTGGTCACCCTGCCTGGTACTGAGTGCAGAGGACATGGCCCAGGGAGGACAGATGGCATGGCCTCAAGGAGCGTAGAGCAGGGGTCAGGCTGCAGAGTGGTGGGGAGGGCAGTAGGGGCTGTCTCCACATTGATGTTTGGATGTTTGAGCAGAGGCCTGGGGGCGCAAAGGCCCTGGGGCAGCACCATGCCTGGTGAGTTGGAGGAACAGTGAGGAGGCCTCTGTGGATGGAGCAGAGTGACGGAGGGGGAGAGGGAGGAAGAGTGGGGGCGGGGGAGGGCAGGCTGTGCAGGGCCTTGTGAACTCGGGCTTTTGAGAGGAGCCATGTGCATGGGGAGGAGCCCACTCTGGCTGTCAGGAGGATATGGGGGACCCCTTGGGCAGGCCAGAGCTCTGCACGGACTTCAGTATCTTTTTGGGGTCTTGGGATGGGGGCTGTGTCCCCCCACGTCTCTGGGGTCCAAGACGGAAGGGTCTGTCTTCTCCAGATTCTATCAGGGTGTCCAGTAGGCTCTGGCTGGAGAAGGAGAGGGTTTCAAGGGTGGTTTGTACTCCCCCCGCCCCTCTGCAAGAGGAGGGACATCGTGCTGCTGACCCCACTGCCCCACGCTGGCCTTCCTGTCCGCCTGAGGAAGTGGCCTCAGGGTTGGCCAGAGTCCTCCCTGAAGTGTGGAAATCCCCACAGGCCACCCTGCCTCCCCATTCCCAAAACAGCCCTGGGGAGCAGGGGGTGCTGCTGCTCCCCTGCCTCAGGCAGAGGGTCAGGCCCCGGCAGGCTTCCTGGAGGTGGTGGCACAGTCCTTCCCTCATCTTCCCCCAGGTCCTTCCCCTGCTCTCTTCTGTTGTCCAGTGTCCACTTGGGGCCAGTAACCCCCAAGGAAGGGGCCCCTCCAGCACAACCCATGCCTGGCCCAGCCTGAGTGGGACCCCTGTGAATTTTGCAGGTTGATTTTGTGTGGTTTTTGCAGCTGTAGCCCGCTCAAGGGCCCTGCCCTGGCCACTTCAGGTGGGGAGGGTCCAGCCTTGTCCCGCTGCACGTTGGGCTGAGATTTATTCTTCCCCACGAGGGTTGTGGTGTGGTTGGTCCAGCCCAGGAGGTCTCCAGTTCTGGACACACAGCTGGGGACCCCTTTCCCCAATTCATTTGAGCAGTTAGTGCCTTCTGGGGCGGGGGAGGGGGCACGGGACCGGGAGCCCTAAGACCTGAGCTTAGAGGTTCCCTCCTTGCTGCCACTTCAGGCACAAGGCAGGCTGTGTCACCTGACACAGGTGGTGTGACTGCAAGCCTCAGTTTCCAAGTCTGTAAAACAGGAGTCTCCCCATCGGCAGAGGGTTCAGCGAGTCCTTGGGCGTGAAACTGCCTTATAAACTGAGGCGTGGGGCCCATCTCGGTGTCTGCCTTGAGCGGGTGCAGGGGTTCGCAGCTCCAGACCCTGGAGCCACAGGAACTGAGACTGGTCCCTTTGGGGGGCTCTCCCAGCTCTGAGCTCATTTCCCTACTCCCTCGTTGGTGGAGTTGGAGACTCCAGGGGAAGGTGGGTGGGGTGGAAAGGTTGGTGGTCCAACAGTGGGATAGGGCTTGGGGAAGTCACCCCCTTTCTGAGCCTCAGCTTTTTTCATCTGTAAGATGGGTCACCGCCCTGCAGACGGGCAGTGTCGCTTTAAGGAGACAAGAGTTTCTGAATGCTAGTAGGTCACGCCAGCCACATTTTCCCCTTCACCCTCCTTTCATGTCTTGGCCTAGTGTCTCTCTACTTAGAATTCCTTTGAGTCAACTTGCTTCTTTTAGATTCACTTCGAAAGGGCACTTCATGTTAGGAGAGGAGCAACCCAGGCCAGCGGGGACGGGTCTCTGAGGAGGGGTCTCTAAAGGTCTTGGGAAGAGGAGCTGAGCGTGTGGGGTGTGCGGGCTGCCTGCACCGTCTCTGTTGAAAGACTCTGTCAGGGAGGCGCCGAGGCCAGAGGATTTCTCCTCGTGATCTAGAGCAGAAGACTGCAGAACAGGGATAATTTTTCCACTCCCTCCCTTTTGGGAAACCCCAAGGCACAGATCTCTCAGTGGCAGCACGTCCTCTGCCACAACCTACAGGGTCCGAGGCCCCACGAGATATGGGGAAACACCTGCTGACACCGGAGGAGACGACGTCTTCCCTGTTTTCCTGTCTCGCAGCTTTCCTGGTCTGTGTGACTCTAAAGGTAACATGCCCTTGGGTACAAACCTAACAGGTAGGCAAAGCGGCGTCTACCCTGGCTCAGCACAGGTGTGCGGTTACAGCCTCAGAGTAAGTTCCCGCCTAGAACTGCCAGCCGTGGACTTGCGTCCACAGTAAGAATGTCCCTCTGGCGTCCCAGTGCTGGCTGTTTCCAGCCTCCTCCAAATGTGCCGTTTCAATGGGCATTTACACATTAATCACGGGCGATTATCTTTCCAAAAGCAGATTGGCCAGATGAGTTATTTTTTGATGAATTTCTGATCACTACCCCCTTTTTTTCTTGGATTTAGTGGACTTTTTATTTTGAAATAGTGATATATTCACAGGAAGTTGCAAAGAAATGTGCGGGGCGGCCCCTCACGCCCCTCCCCAGCCTCCCCAGCTGTCGGTCCTGCAAGTCCCTCACATGACACCAAATCGGGAGGCTGACCTTGGTACGATCTACAAGAGTTTATTTGGATATGGTAGTTTATTCACAAGATCTGCGTGCACACGTTTGTGTGCGTGTAGTTCTGCTTGGTTTTAGCCCGTGTGTAGTGCCATGAAGCCACCACCATGGTCTGTTCAGAATTGTTCTATCGCCTCATGACCTCCCACCTGCTGTCACCCACCACCCCTCACCCTGACGACCCCTGATTTACTCTTTTCGATCTTCCCGACTTTGTTGTGTCGAGAATGTTACATACATGGAGCCATACAGCATGGAACCTTCTGAGACTGGCTTTTTCTACTGAGCACAGTTCCTTGGAAATTCCTCCAAGTTGTTGGCTGGATCAACAGCTTGTTCCTTTTTATTGCTACCTGGTGAACTTTTTAACAACGGCAACAGTAACACTTATCAACAACTTAAGTTGACATTTGTTGAGCACTGTATGCCAGGCACTGAGCCTGGATTGTTTATTCTGAGTCCTCACTCCTCACAGGTTGGTGAAATAAGTGCGATTGTCATCCCCATTTTACTTATGATGAAGCTGAAATTCAGAGTTTATTAACCATCTCAGCTAGCCACCCAATGTTGTTTCCCTGTAGTGCCTTGTACTCCTGCACTATGCTGCACTTAGTGATTTGTAAGAGCTTTTTATAGAGGAAGGATGTTAGTCTTTTGTGATCTGCAGCCTTTTCCCCAAGTTTTCATTTATAACCGTTGTTGATGATGGAGACTTTTAATTTGCCTCAGTGCTTTACAGGTTTCAGTTTTATGTTGGCAAGTCTTCTATGTTGTTCTAGCTTTGGTGCCATTTCTGCAAAATCCTTGAGAATTAGATGACACAGTCCATTCTGCATTGCAGATGTGACAGTCATGAATGTGCCTGTTCCTCATTCCATCAGGTTGAGGAATATACGGGAAAAGATGCTGGAGGGCAGAAAAGCATGCCTTTGCAGTTCTTGGCAGAGCAAAAAAGTGAAAAATAAGTGGGAGGTAGAGAACCTCAACAGTGAAGTGATCAAGGTTGAGCTTATGCAGCAGTTCCTGGCCAAGGGCACACATCCAGCTCACCCGTGGGGCTGCTCAGAACACACACCCCTGGGCCCTGGACCCAGAGACACTGATAAAAAGCCTGGGATGGGGCCTGTAAGAGCTTCCAGGCAATTCTGAGGGGCACCTCCAGTTAGAAGAACTTACCTTTAAAGGCCATGCCTTGTAAAAGAGATCATACCGTTCTTATAAAAATTGGTCACATACTGTGCACAAAAACCTGTAACATAAAAAAAGTGACCAAAAAAAAAAAAACTGACCAAAGTATAAACCATATTCTTTGAGAACA